AAGTCTTCGTTCTTGCTTTCTTGCACTTCATGTTCATTGGGACTTTCCAAGGCCGCTGCTAATGCTATTCGCATCTTCTTTGGTAATCGTAGCGCTTCCTCAATGCTAAAGTGTGTTGGCAGACCTTCTTCGAGCGTGAGAGTTTTTTCTCCCTCAGTGGTGGTATCTTTGCTTTTTGAAGGTTCTTCCGTTTCTACTTCGACCATATGGCATGCAGCGATGGTGCACTGTTGGAAGAAGTCATTCGGGAAGTACTCGCGCAAGGAGACAGGAATGCGTGGCTCTTGCTCCACGGGTTCCCCAGCATACGTTGGCTTATCGACTTTTACGTTTTCTTTAGGCTTCCTACTGTTGCGGCGACGGTGTTTTCTCACTTGTTCCACCTTTGGTCTTGTGGCTTGTGGTTTTGGTTTCCTTGTTTTTTTGTAGGTCACCAATGTCCATCCTTCATCATCATCGGTATACGCATCTTGTTCGTTTGCCCCCGGCGATGGTTGTGTAGAAGGCGCCGTGTAGCTTGCACATTGATAGGAATGGTTGGGTGTCGTTTGGAGAGGCACGGGATCGAAGGATCCGAACGCCACTGTAGTAGTATGTGTTGCGGCTGTGTCCTCAAGGTCTAGCTCGATTCTCCCTTGTTGCGCTAGCTTCATAATGAGTTCTTTGAGGACGAAGCATTTGCCCACATGATGGCTTACGATACGATGGTACTTGCAGTACCTAGGATCGTTCGTTCGATTCATTTCTTCAGGGCGCTTGCACTCTGGTAACTCAATTACCTTCTTTTCCAGCAAGTCATCTAACATTGCATCCACGTCTGAGTCAGGAAAAGGGTACGTCTTTTGCTCCAACTCTCTCAAGGTGTTTTTATACTTGTCTTGGGTGCGAGGAGGCTCACTTCTTTTTGTCTCCTTTGCCTTGGTCTTGGAGGAAATCTTGATAGGTGCAGAGGTGGTCTTGATAGGCGCGGATGGGGTTTTGATGGGGGTAGTGTTGACAGTAAAAGTTTCCTTTGCAGGCTTTTTTCCGGTCTTGTCCACACTCGGGGCGAACACCTTATCCTTCTTGAAGTGGGTGATCGGCTCATTCTTTCCGTGATTGGCGATACTCAGCTCCATGTCGTGGGAGCGCGTTGCCAGCTCCTCAAACGTTCTTGGTTTTATGCCTTGGAGAATGTAATGTAACCCCCAGTGCATGCCTTGAACACACATCTCAATGGCAGAGGTTTCAGAGAGCCGATCTTTGCAATCCAGACTTAATGAACGCCATCTATTGATGTAGTCGACGACGGGTTCCTCCTTCCACTGTTTCGTACTGGTCAGCTCCAGCATGCTTACGGTGCGGCGCGTGCTGTAGAAACGGTTGAGGAATTCCTTTTCTAGCTGATCCCAACTGCTGATAGACTCGGGCTCGAGGTCGGTGTACCAGTCAAAGGCGTTGCTTTTCAGCGAGCGCACGAACTGCTTGACGAGGTAGTCTCCCTCTGTTCCAGCATTGCTGCAGGTTTCAATGAAGTGGGCGATATGTTGCTTCGGGTTCCCCTTTCCATCGAACTGCATAAACTTTGGTGGTTGATAGCCCTTTGGCATCTTCAAAGCGTCAATCTTCTTGGAGTAGGGCTTTGAGTATAGTACGGAATCATGTGAGCTTCCTTCATACTGCGCCTTGATGGTGTTGGCGATCATCTCCTGCAGCTGCTGGATAGAGAGAGACCCCATAAGTGTCGCCGCTTGGTCTAGCTTCAGCGTCTCTTCGACGTTCTCCACTGGAGGTTCCTCATCCTCGTCGTTTTCCTTCTTTACCGGATTATCCCCTTGCCTGGCTTTCTCATCGGGCTTTGCATCTAGTTGGTTAACAAGTGCTGCGATTTGCAGGTCTTTTTCCTCCACAGTCCTTGTGAGCTTTGCGATTGCTTCGTTCATCTGAGCCAGCTGCTCCTCAATTGAAGTTGTTCCGGTAACCATGACTTGCATAGCTATGCCGCTGCTCGAGTCGGCATCGGAAAGTAAGGATTCAGAGTACTTCCTCTGGCTTTCCTCTCTTGGCGCCCTGAGCGAGGCCAGGGTGATCACCGGTTCGAACCTCGGGTGCTCTTGTGCCTTCGGCGGAGTTGATGAAGGGGCGAAAGAGGCGGCGGAAAGAGCTTTTGCCTTACTTCGAGTTATGATGCCTGAAGTGATGCCCCCTGTCGTGATGACGCTCTTGTTTCTTGCATTGGCAGCGAGAACAACTTGGGCCTTCCTTGACGCCATTTGTGCTTGTTGCGGATTCAAAGATAGAGATGAGAGGTAGAGACTGTCCCACCGAGCGTGCCAAATTTGTAAACACGGAAATTCCTGAAACGAAAGAGACAAGAACACGTGTACAAAATAATATTTGTATTAATGATTTAGGGGTTACAATCTCTTCTACAAATTTATCCTCTGATTCTATCTTTGAAACGTGTAGATGTAGTGTTGTTGATCCAAGGGCCGTCGAGGCTTGATCTTGGACGAACAGTTGATGAATGATGAACACCTTCTTCAAGGGCCGTCGGGGCTTGATCTTGAATGGGTGGAAGTTCTTCAAGGGGCGTTGGAGCTTGATCTTGAAGGAGGATTTCACGAAGAACAGATAGGGCTTTCTTGATCCTTCGGGATTTGCTTGAGAGCTTCAGAGTTTCGAGGCTTCAAGGCTTTGGTGTGGTGTGATTTCTCTTCCAATTTGGGAGTAGAGAAAGTGTATCTAAAATCCTCCCTTGATTCTTTGATGGAGGAGCCTATTTATAGGCTTTGGGAATGAACCACCACCATCCATTTGTTTTGGTGGATGTTGTAGGTGAATTGGTGGATTGTTGTAGGTGAATTTGGGTGGAGGTTGTAGGTGAATTTGGATGGATTGTTGTAGGTGAATTTGGGTGTATGTTGTAGGTGAATTTGGGTAGGTGAATTTGGGTGGAGGTTGTAGGTGAATTTGGATGGATTGTTGTAGGTGAATTTGGGTGTATGTTGTAGGTGAATTTGGGTAGGTGAATTTGGGTGGAGGTTGTAGGTGAATTTGGATGGATTGTTGTAGGTGAATTTGGGTGTATGTTGTAGGTGAATTTGGGTGAAGGTTGTAGGTGAATTTGGGTGAAGGTTGTAGGTGAATTTGGATGGATTGTTGTAGGTGAATTTGGGTGTATGTTGTAGGTGAATTTGGGTGAAGGTTGTAGTTTTAATGCAATGGTCAACATTTATTTCACTAAAATTTCAATGTTTACAAATGTAATTTTAATGTGATGGCTAACATTTATTTCAACGAAATTTCAATGTCTACATTTACAAAACCACTTTTTTCGCAGAATTTTTTCCACACCACAAGCTTGTTAAAATTCTTGCTAAACAATGTAAAGAAGTTTGGAAACGATACTAATTAAGGTTTCCTTACTGGCTTTACAAATTGCATTTTTCACCAAAATTGTTGCTCACGTTTATTAATCGATTTTTCTAAATAAAAAAACAACAATTCATTTTAGAACTAAGCCGATCTGTTTACACATGTGTATGTGTAAACTCCATATAGTCAACACACAGACAATGTTTCATACGTTATCTTGAACTAGCATCTTGTCACATGCATACGCATGCGACAATTTGCCTTTGTATGTTAAATTAAAGTTTTATTATGATTTTTTACATAATAAATTAAGAAATTCAATTTTTGTTATTTATATATTTTTATTAATAATATTTTTGAAAATAAATTAGAAGTTAAACATAAACCGTGGGGTTTTGCTATTTTTTTCTTTCTAAAGTTTAAAATTTTAAATTCGTTCAAAATTAATATTTGTTGAATTATTTTAACTCCTTTTAATTCAATAGTAATTTAAAAAAATTTAGAGGCAATTTATGGTATTTTGAAAAGGAAAACTAATGAAAATGACTTGAAAACTTTGAATTTTAATGATAATGACAAAATAAAGAGTAAAATGAATAGTATCAAGATTGACTTTTTTGTGTAAAAATGTGGTTTTTCGTTAAAGTAAACAGTACCGAGAGCTTTTCGTTAGTTCCCATTTTGAAATTAACCTGCATGCATGCAGTTTGACTACTTTGGCCTCCCAGCCATTCGGTTCTTGTCCATTTTTTCCACCCTGTTATGAAAGTGAAATATACCTATACTGTACTACGAGAACATGAGACATGCAGTGTTACTTTCAACAGGTGGCACGCCTTGCTACCTCACACTTATCCTCCTTGATCAATCCATATCTACACATTCAATCAACTCTTGTGCATTACGTACGTCGCTATGCTTTTTCAAAAGTCTCTCTCAATTTCATAAAAATTGCAGAGCTGGGTGTAGCTACATAAGCTGCAAAAGCACAAATAGAAATATTATTGCTTATATAAAAGAATTCATACAACTTTGTTTTTTTTTTTTTTTTTTGCGACCATTCGGTTAAATTTTGTTTTGCATGTATTAGGGTAAAGGGAGTGTGATATTCTCTCCTTCTAATCTCTCTCCCCTTCCTTCCCATCCTATTTGAATAGTTATGATTAAATCACATCAACATCTTATATTGATTTCCTTATAGAGAGAGAAAGACAAAGATGAAAGGAAAATGGGGAGGCACTAGAAGAAAAAAGCTCATCTATCACGGTGAATACCCGTGATAAATTGCAATCTACCACGGACACTGTGCCCGTTAGTATTCTGGATGTGATAAAAAGTCTCAGTTTCTACCACAGGCTATGTCCGTTGTCAAATGCAATATAACCACGGATTGTACCCGTGGTAGATTGAGATCTAACACCACATGCTATGACCGTTGTCGATTACTAATTGACCACATCTAATGCCCGTTATAAATTATTTTCCAAAATTAAAAAAAATATATTTAACAAATATATATATATATATTGATTTATTTATTTATATATTTTAGTACAGAATAATCAACAAAATTGCATATTTACTACAATATAATAATTACATAAAAAAATACTTGATAATATTATAACATAATTTAAAAATACTTGAGTTTCCAAATGAATACATAAACAACAAAAGTCATAAAGTACTATCCATGTAGTGCCTAATGAATACATAAACAACGGAAGTCATAAAATACTATCCATGTAGTGCCAAAGTACCATTTTCTAGTCTAAGTACGAACTAAAATTACTCTCCAACTCAGACGTACTTTGATGGCCAGGCAATTGTACTAGATATAGCATCCTCCACGACACGAAATTCACTTGTAGGGCGGTACAAAGATATATTCTCCACTCTTACCCAAACTTTCCATCAATCAGGATCAAGCACCATGTGATGAACTTTCACCTCAGGATTTGTTGATTCTATTTCTCCAGTTGCAACAACTTGTCTATTTCCGAGCCAATTTAGTAACTTGCATGAAGACCCTCGTAAAATACCAACAGGTTTAACTAGCATAAAGAAACCAAATAAGAACATCAATTTCAAATGATTAAGTTATCAAACTATTTAACAATTATTATCAAGCGTGTGTTACTACCTGAGAAGTGGCTTTAGACCTTTCTTTTCTCTTAATGCTGTCTCTTTCTATGTTTGGACTACTTCTCTGTGACAATCGAACATGGAAGACACAAAATTCGAACAACTTATATCAAAATATCATAAGTTTCATAAGCTAACTATTTAGTACTTGTTCTCGTATACTTGGGAACTAGCTTTGGAAGCTTGTCTAGAAGCATCGTCAGCTTCTCGTGCACTTCTTCTATCACATTGTATCTAATAACAAAACAAAAACAGTTGAATTATCAACATCTGCTATGTCTTAATATATTAATTTGTACACAGGAATGGCCTCACAAAACAAAAATAATTTAATTATCTAATAACAAAACAGAAATTTGCTCTGCCGCCGATGGAGCCACAAAGAAGGAAATTGGCCGAGCAAAAGAATACATATTGAAACAACTGGGATTAGAGAATGGTTAGTGGAGATGCAAACAATACATGCTGGGGACTTTATGGTGAAATTTTTTTTGTGAAAAAGGTAGAGAAATTCATACAAAAAGACACATAGAAACCATCTTCTTAGCAATCAATATTATATAAAAAAAAAAAGTGAACAAGCATTTTCTTTACAATGTTTACACTAGTATAGTCGAATTTGCAGTTTCAATTGATCGAAGTATTACTACTGCATATCTTTTTTCCTTATATATAACTGGTTCGTGCTCTGTGTGTGTGTGTATATATATATATATATGCACGTGTATAAATAGAGTAAAGCAGAACGTAAACTTCATGGGCAAGTCATCAAAATCTGAACAAATAGTTTTCAATTCAACAACCACAAATTCAAAAAGCATTCCAGCCGATGGCTACATACCCCAATCGCAATCATGCATATACAAATCACAAATTCAAAACCCTAGCTCCCAAATTAACCAGCTCAAAATCTGAACGAAAATTGAATTAATTTAAATTAAAACCTGCTAAGAATAGGAGTGCTGACCCTCGCAAACAGGGCTTTCATCGAAGTTCTTAGAGGGGTACTTGGCGGAGACCATGCCGACCTCGAACACCAAGTTGTCGCCGCTCGACCGGATTCCCGTGATCGACCACCACTGGAAGAAGGCCCGGACGCTGATGCCGTTGATCTTGGCGATTTATGACGATTCGAAGATGAGGGGGAAGGGTGGATGGATGACGAGTCGATGAGGAGAAGAGATGAGGGTTTGGTGGGTTGGTGCAGAGGAGTGGAGGGATATGGGAAGGTGGGGGAGATAGAGGACGATAAAAAAGGATTGACGGTTTCTTTTTAGGGTTTTCGTCCAGTTTCACGTGAGGGGAAAATAATTGGGATTTTAGATTTTAATATCTTTCAAAATATTAAAAAAAAACAAAAAAACATCCACCACGGGCCAAGGGCGTGGTGAATTGTCAAAAGGTGGTGTGTGGTCGTTTGAAGTAACCACTACGAGCATATCGCGTGGTGGTTTTGATATTCCATTATGGGAATAAAAACCGTTGTAAATTATTCACTTTTAACAACGGGCCAGAACTTGACCGTGGTGGATTAATGTTATCTACCATGAGCTACACTCGACCGTGGTAATGAAATAGTTTCTACCACGAACTGTTGATGCCCGTGATGGAATTGATGTGGTAAATATGATGTTATGTACTTGTGAGGATTAGGGCGGGAAAAGAATCGTAGTCCAAGGTAAAGAACTCATTCACATGCAAGATTCGACTCCATTATTAATCAGCCGTTGGATCTTGAACTCTCTATAAGTATTAAACAAAATGAGTCCATCTATCTCACCCAAAAATCAATAAAAAATGATTCCTTCAGAAATAGCCATCCTAATCCTTGTATTCCTTACCTTCCTGTGGTCTATCCTCTGCATCCTAATCAATGCCTTCTCAAGGCAAAGCCGAAAACTACCTCCTGGCCCTAGGGAACTACCAATCATTGGCAATCATTGGCAATCTTCAAGTTTTATTGTTTTTTACTCTCTTAATCATCAAGTTTTATTGCTATTCACTTTCAAGGCAAAGCCAAAAACTACCTCCTAGCCCTAGGGCACTAACAATTTTTTACTCTCCTCACCATATAATAATTCAACAACGCCAAGTGATTCTCTTGTGTCTTTTCTAAAATCAACAAACACTAGTGAATCAAATTTTAGAATAACCTAGTTTAACAATAAATTATTGAAAAAGAAAATTTAAATTCAAAGTTATGGTTACCTCAAATTACAATCTTCAGGACCAAGTGATAGTTGCTTAAACATTCAATAGAAATAGAAAGACTGGGAAGTTAAAAGAAAAATGATTACAAAATTATGATTATTTTGGTTTTTGTTATTTTTTTAGGTTATTTTCAAAAGCAAAAGAAAAAAATGCATTTGGATATATTAAGGCCATTAATTTCAGTAGCTTCTTGTCACACACGTGGGTGTGTGACAATTGACCTTTGTATGTTTTTTATTTAAGAAACTCAAGTTTTTTCTATTTATACAATTTTTATTTAAAATATTTTTGAAAATAAATAAGAATTTAAACATAAACCACCCACTAACATGAGGTTTTGTTATTTTTTTTCTAAAGTTGAAAATTTTAAATTCATTCAAAATTAATATTTATTGAATTATTTTAGCTCCTTTTGATTTTTGATTTTAAAATTTTTTAGGAGCAATTTATCTTTAATTTTAATCTTTAATTTCATAGATTTGAATTTTAACTCCTTTTGATTCTTGTAATTTTAAAATTTTTTAAGAGCAATTTATCTTTAATTTTAATCATTAATTTCATAGATTTGAAAAAAGCAAAAACTAATGCCTACAAGGTGTTTCGAACTGCCCACCCCAATGAAAACGGAGTGGAACCGTTTCCACTGCACCAACGAAATAATTGTAATGTTTCTTATGTTTCCACTGCACCAACGAAATAATTGGGGGCCCTAGACGACCGCCTACCTCGGCTACCCTCAAGGCCGGCCCTGACTAGAACAAGACATGTTACTTTCAAAAGATGGCACACGTATCCTCATGTTGTCCATATCCATCCATATTCAATCAACTCTTGTGCATTCTTCTTCAAAATTCTCTCTCAATTTCATGAAAATTACAGAAGTAGGAGGGTAAAGGGAGTAGAATTTTATCCCCTCTTTATCTCTCTTTCTTTCCCTTCTTTCTAATTTGAACAGTTTACAATTAAACCATGTCAACATCTTTTATTGACTTCTTTATAGATAGAGAAAGACAAATAAAAAAGTGTGAGAGAATGAAAGAAAAAAATGGAAGGAATTAGGAGTGGAGACAATCCTAATAGAGGTTAAAGAACTCATTTTCCACATGCTGGCATTGGGTAATATATCAATCAGTTGTTGGATCTTGAACTCTCTATAAGTATCAAACAAAATGAGTCTACATGTATATATATGTGTGTGTGTGTCTAATGTCCCATTTATCGATCTCACCCAGAAATCATATAAAATGAGTCCTTCAGAAATAGCCATCCTCATCCTTGTATTCCTCACATTCCTATGGTCTCTCCTCCGCCTAATCAATGCCTCCTCAAGGCAAAGCCGAAACTGCCTCCTGGCCCTACGGCACTACCAATCATTGGCAATCTTCATATGCTAGGCAACCTCCCACACCGTAGCCTCCAAAACCTGGCAAAAAAATATGGACCTATAATGTCCATGCGTCTAGGGTTCATACCAACCATAGTGGTCTCATCTCCCAAAACAGCAAAGCTATTCCTCAAAACCCACGACAACATTTTCGCTAGCTGCCCCAAACTCCAAGCCTCCGAGTACATGGCCTACGGCACGAAGGCCATGGCCTTTACTGAATATGGCCCATATTGGCACCGTATTCGGAAACTCTACACGCTTCAACTTCTTTGTCCCTCGAAAATCGAGGGTTTTGCTCCGCTAAGAAGGGAGGAGGTAGGGTTGTTGGTGCAGTCCCTGAAGGTAGCTGCGGAGGCGGGCGAGGTGGTGGATTTTAGTGAGAAGGTCGGTGAGCTTGTTGAGGGAATCACGTATAGGATGGTGTTGGGGAGAAAAAATGATGATATGTTTGATCTCAAGGGGATTATTGAGGAAGCCCTATTCTTGACAGGAGCTTTCAACATTAGTGATTATGTGCCTTTCCTTAGTCCACTTGATCTTCAGGTATGTTACCCTTCATTCTTAAATACAAACTTGATAGATGAATCAATAATAAAACTAGCGAAATGCTAGGAACACCGTAAAGTAGGGACATTTATAATCATTGCACACACGCTATTGCTAAGCACAAATACAAAGTAGAGGCGTTGCAAATAAGTGCACACACGTATGGCAACTGATTTTAGCACTACTCTTCTAAAAATATTTAAACTCTATTATTTAGATGACGTATTTAGATGACGTATGTCAACAAATAAAGTGAACGAGATTAATTCATAGTTTAGGGAAACCGAGCTCTTTTGGATGTGCTCTTAAAATGACTTAAAGTGTTTTTGGTAAAATTATTTTTAGAAACAATCCTTAATAAAAATGCTAGCAAATCTTGGAAAAACACTTAAATGCTTTCTGGAAGAAGCAAATATAACTAGTGCTTCTTGTAGAAAGCACTTCAAATATTACTTTTAGAATCCAAAAACATTTTTTCTAAAAACGCTTTCAGTCATTTTAAAAAGTATATCCAAACACAGCGAGTAACTAGTTCACATTCGTACAAATTAATCTGAGAGGAATATCTGTTTACTTTAGCGAGCTCACTTATCGTCTTTTTGCTGGTGATATGATTCACAAAGTCAAAGCATCCACAAATTGTAAATGCAAAATCATATGATTCATATCGTATGGTCCATTCCATAGCCTGCTGACGATAAACTATCTCCTAATTAGAGATGTAAAAATATATTTACATCTCATCTCATTTTATAGTTTCAAGAGGGGTAGATGGGAGTTCTATGCTAATGAGAGTGATGTAAATTTGAGCTTTTATTTAATTTTCTCTCTTAGAGTAGCGGAGTCCACCATACAAAAAATATACATCTATATATATATATAAGTTCTTATTTATATTTTCCAATCAATATTTTCCATCTTTCTGACCAACTTAAAGTATTAAATACAAATTATATACATCCATATATATATAAGTTCTTATTTATATTTTCCAATCAATATTTTACATCTTTCTGACCAACTTAAAGTATTAAATACAAATTGCTCCCTATCTTATGCATTTGGTTGCCAATGGCATCCGGGATA